ATCGTGCTAGAACTAAACATATTGATGTAAGGTTCCACAAGATCAAAGAGTTGGTTGCATCTGGAGAGGTTTTGTTTCAGAAGGTACATACTGATGAGAATGCCGCTGATATATTCACCAAGCCAGTTACGACAGACAAGTTCAAGCATTGCTTGGACTTGTTGAATGTTTCGAGTTGTTAAAGAAGCAAGGTAACCCAACCCACATTGAAGTTTCCAAGGGGCAGGATATTCGCCAAGGTGGAGATTTGTTAGGTATGGCTCATAAATATACCAGGGTTTTCTATTATAAATAGAGATGTAACCTATACCTAAAATATCATTGAATAAAATTCTAGCGCCGCCTAGGCATCGAGGACGTAAGCACATTGCCGAACCTCGTAAAATTCTCGTGTTCTTTCTTTTTCTTTACCCGTTTTCGTCAACAGCAACCATCTTGGCTGAAAGACTTTGTATGTTCTTACCAATTGTCTTATTCTTCCAGACAATTTCTTTCTTATTCCCATTTACCTTCCCACACACAAACATTTATTTCTGCTAGTAGCATACGTGAACCTAAAACTTTTTCTGAGGTTGTTTTATCCCCTTCTTGGGTTATTGTAATGAATGTGGATATTCAAGCTTTAAAGACTAATAACACTTGGACTGTAGTTCCTTTGTCTTCAGGAAAGGTTCCCATTAGGTGTAAATGGGTGTATAAGGTTAAGTATCATGCTTGAGGGGCTGTGGAAAGGTAAAAGGCACACTTGGATGCGAAAGGTTATAGTCAACTAGAAGAAATAGACTATGGGGACACTTTCTCTGCCGTTGCCAAGATAGTGATAGTTCGAGCTATTGTTGCTCTTGCCTCCAAGTATAAATGGCGTTTGTATGAAATGGATGTTCATAATGCATTCTTGCAAGGCAATTTGAATGAAGAGATCTATATGGAGACACCACTAGTGTTTTACAACCATGGGGAGAAGAAGTTGGTTTGTAGGTTGCAAAAGTTCTTATATGGACTGAAACAGGCTTCAAGGCAGTGGAACATCCGACTGACTGAAGCATTGCTGGTTATAGGTTTTGTTCAAAGTAAGCACGATTATTCTCTGTTTACAAAGAGGCATGAGGATAGAACTATGGCACTGCTTATATATGTAGATGTTTTGTTGATAAATGGTAATTATATCGGTCTAGTTAAGGATTTAAAGGGGATGTTAAACAAAAATTTCAAGATGAAGAATTAGGGTGAGCTAAATTATTTCCTTGGGATAGTGGCGTTGAGGTCTAATGATGAGATTCTATTGAACCAAAGGAAGTATGCCCTGGAATTGATTAAAGATACAAGGATGAAAGGTGCAAAGTTAGTTTTGACACCTCTACAACATAATTTAAAGCCGACTACACCTGAGTATGATGAAGGTACACTACAACAAGTTGAAGACACTTTATTGGAAGATAAAACCAGCTGTCACATATGTTGTGTACTATCTCAGTCAATATATCCAATTACCAAAGCAGACACACATGGAAGCTGCTTTGAGAATAGTGAGGTACATTAAGGGAAGTCCTGGTCAGAGGTTATTGTTGGCAAAACTGGGTTATTTCCCACACGAATGTAGTTTCAGAATTAACTTAAAATATCAAGATCAAAACCACCAAAGGTTGCACAGCGGATAAACCCATCAAACTATTGAATATTAAAACACAATGGAAAAATCGAATAAAAAAATAAATGAGAGAACACACCAAATTTACGAGGTTCCATGAGAATATCGTCTACTCCTCGGGCACCACACCGGATAATAACTTCACTATCAACAAATATTACAACAAATTGGAATTCTTTAGAATTCCCAAAGTGAGTGAATGAAGAAAACAAAAGGAAGAGAAAACTTGTTTTGGGATAGTTTCTAATGAAATACTTAGGCCTATTTATAGTTGAGTTTCAAGGACTAAACTTATAAATAACCTAATATTTTAGGAACCAAAGATGGAATTACCATGTGCAAAGTTGGCCACCTACCAAAGATGAATTTTCCAATAAGTTGGCCACCAACCAAGATGAAATTCCCTTGTGCAAAGTTGGTCACCTACTAAAGATGAATTTTTCAACTTGCCAAATTTGATAATTACAAGCCAAACATAACAAATCTCCACCTTGGCTTGAAATTACCAAGCCTACTCAACTTCTTCAACTCCCCAAATTTGATGTTGTGCCTCTAATTACGCTCACAAGTGCCATATACCTGAAGGTGCTCAAACTTTTAGGATGTTAATCAAGTTCAAACAATGATTGAACTTGATTATTTTTACTACCTTGGTCATCATATCTGCAGGATTTTCTGCTGTCGCAATTTTCTGAAGCATAATCTTTCTTTCTTGAATGGTAGACTTGATTTTTCGCTAAGTGAATAGCACTCTGACTGTCACAATAGAGACTAATGTGACTTTGAAAAACTCCCAATTCTTCCATCAACTCGTTAAGCCAAATTGCTTCCTTCACAACCTCTGAAACTGCCATGTATTCTGCCTCTGTAGTAGACAAAGCCACAGTAGATTTCAAAGTAGACTTCTAAGTTTTTGGGGCTTTAGCAAGAGTAAACAAATACCCAGTAGTTGATCGACGCTTATCCAAATCACCATAATAGTCGGAATCAATATATTCAACCACACACTGACCAAGTGCTTCATTCTGTTCAAAAACTAAACCAACATCCACGGTTTGTTAGAGATACCGTAGACTCCATTTCATAGCTTGCCAATGTCCTTTTCCAGGATCATGAATGTACCTGTTCATAACTCCAACTGCTTGTGAAATGTTAGGACGCGTACACACCATTGCATACATCAAGCTCCCAACTACATTAGCATATGGAACTTTTGCCATATACTCTCGTTCTTTGTTAGTTTTAGGAGATAACTGAGAACTAAGTTTCAAATGATAAGCTAGTGGGATACTTACATGTTTGGTATTTTTATTCATGCTAAAACATTGTAATACATTTCTCAGATACTGCTTCTGAGTTAAACAAAGCTTCTCTCTCCATACCAAGAATCTTCTTGGCCTCACCTTGATCTTTTATCTCAAACTCATGATTCTATTGAGCCTTTAATTAATCTATCTCCTTTTGACTCTTAGAAGCGATCAACATATTGCCAACATACAAGAGAAGATAAATGAAAGATCCATCTTTGAGTTTTTATAAATACACACAATGATCATATTTGCTTCTAGTGTACTTTTGCCTCCTCATAAAGCTATCAAATCTCTTGTACCACTACCTCAGAGATTGCTTCAATCCATATAGCAATTTGTTCAGCTTACAAACTCATTTCTCACAACCACCATCTTTGTATCCTTCTGGCTGAGTTATATAGATATTCTCTTCTAAATCACCGTGCAAGAAAGTCGTCTTTACATCAAGTTGAGCTAGCTCCAAATTCAACTGTGCTACCGAGGCCAACTATATTCTAATGGAGGAATGTTTCACAACAGGGAAAATACTTCATTGTAGTTGATTCCCTCCTTTTGAGCGTAACCTTTAGATATCAACCTTGCCTTGTAGCGAACATCTTTCCTGCTATGAGATCCATCTTTCTTTTTAAATATCCACTTGCATCCAATTGCTTTTTTACCTTTCGGTAATTGTTCCAGTTTTCAAGTATTGTTCTTCTGGAGAGATTGCATTTCTTCATCCATGTCACTTTTCCAATTATCACTTTCTAAGCTTTGTATTACTTGTTGGTAAGTGATAGGGATATTATCATCAACAACTGGAAGAGCATAGGCCACCATATCAACAAATCGAGTAGGTCTACGAATTTCTCTCCTTGGCCTTGTAACTGCAAGTGGTTCTGGTGTCTCCAATGGTTCTTGGGTTTGAACCTCTTCATCTTCTGATTCTTCTATTGGATTTGAAGAATCAGCTGCATCAACTTTTGGGATCATCGTCTGCTGAAATTCCACCTGTTTTGGAGTATGCTCCACCTGCTGTGGAGTACTACTTGTCTGGACAGCTTCATTTGTTACCTTCTTTACTAGGGCAGATTCATCAAAGGTAACATCTCTGCTACAAATTATCTTCTTGGTGTCTAAACACCAAAGGTGGAATCCCTTCACTCCATAGGTGATTCCCATATAGAGATCTTTCTTTGCTCTCGGATCAAGCTTGGATTCATTCACATGATAATAAGCAGTGAATCCAAATACATGTAAGGAATTATAATTAGTAGCAGGTTTTCTAGACCATACCTCCAATGGTGTTTTTCCTCTTATCGCTGATGATGGCAGACGATTGATGAGATGGCCTATGTCACAACATCAGCCCAAAATGTCTCACTTAACCTATCATTAGACAACATACATCGAACTTTCTCCAATAGTGATCGATTCATAAACTCTGCCACCCCTGTTGTGGTGTATTTCTAACAGTAAAGTGTCGAATAATACCATACTCATGGCAAACGTCAAAGAATGGGTCACTTTTATATTCCCCTCCATTGTCTGTCCTAAGATGTTCGATCTTTCTACCAATCTGGTTCTCGATCATATTTTTCCATTTAAGGAAAATTCAGAGCACTTCATCTTTAGATTTCATTGGATACACCCAAACTCTTCTTGAAATGTCATATAAAAAATTTACAAAACAATGGTTTCCTCCCAGAGACAATGTCTTTGAAGGACCCCATACATCTGAGTGAATATAATCTACTCTACAATACCTTTTGTATTATGTATAGGGGTGCCAAACTTTACTCTCTTCTGCTTTCCCAAAACACAATGCTCGCAAAAGTTCAATTTGCAAGCCTTTGCACCTTTTAACAATCCTTTCTTTGCCAGAATTTGCAAGGATTTCTCTCCAGCATATCCCAACCGCATATGCCACAACTAAGTTGTGTTAAAATCATCACCTCCGGAAGCTGTTGCACTACAATAATTGTACTACCTTGGTAGTAATACAAATTATTTTTCCTGATGCCTTTCATCATCACAAGTGTGCCAGATGTGACTTTTAAAACTCCGTCTCTCATAGTGACTATTGAGCCTTTGGATTCAAAGGCTCCTAATGAGATGAGATTTTTCTTCAAATTGGGCAAGTACCGGACATCAGTTAGAACTCTGGTTGATCCATCTTGATTCTTCAATCGAATTGAACATATCCCAATAGTTTTATAGGTATTATCATTGCCCATATAAACAACTCCTGCATTTAGTTGTATTAAATCGGAGAACCACTCCCCATTAAGGGACATATTATAGGTACAACCCGAATCTAATATCCACTCATATGAATGGAATGTTGTTGATGAATTAACCAATGATATGTCAGATTCATTTGCATCATGCTCTGCAACACATGCATCTGGAGCAGCTTTTCCTTTCTTCTTCAGCTTCGGACAATCTTTCGTCCAATGGCCTTTCTCATGACAAAAGGCACATTAATATTTTCCTAGTCTGGACTTCGAATTTGATCTCCCTCTCCTCTTTGGCTTTGACTTTTCGAGCGACCTCTTGCCACCATGGCATCCACTACTTAGTACTTGCTCTCCTTCTTAGTTTTCTTTCTGAGTTCATAACTATACAAAGCATCAGTTACATCTTTAAGGGTAACATTATTCTTACCATGAAGTAACGTTGTCTCAAGATGCTCAAATTCATCTGGAAGAGATGACAACAACATCAAAGCCAAATATTCATCTTTGAAGGTTTCATCCATGCCCAATAAGTCTGCCACTAGCTTATTGAATGCAGTGATGTGTTCATTCATACTTGTGTCTGGTTGATAATCAAATCTGAACAATCTTTTCTTCATGTGGAGACGATTTTGAGAGCTTTTCTTTAGGAATTTTTCCTCCAATGCTTTCCACATCTTACTTGCAGAAGTCTCATTCTTGTATCCATACTTCTGCTCCCTGGAAAGACAAGATCGAATCGTGTTGCACACCAAACGATTAATTATTCCCCATTCTTTCTCCTCCATATATTCGGGCTTTTCTTCCTCAATGGTGATGTCTAGACCTTGTTGGAATAAAGCGTCTAACACCTTGCCTTACCACATGCCAAAATGATCGGATCCATCGAACAACTCCACCGAGAAATTTACATTTGACATCATCCTCCTCACCAGTCCAGATGAAGAGCTTGATGTCTTAACTGATCCGTATTTTGACATTTTAATTCTAACGAACAATATTTAATAGAACGAACTGTATCTTTTCAACAACTGGACCACGAGGATAACCTCAACCGAAGCTCTGATACCAATTGTTGGGGAAACTGTGCTATTTCCCACACGAACGTAGTTTCAAAATTGACTTATAATGTCAAGATCAAAACCACCAAAGGTTTCACAGTGGATAAACCCGTCAAACTATTGAATATTGAAACACAATGGAAAATCGAATAAAAAATAATAAAGGAGAGAACACACTAAATTTACGAGGTTCGACGAGAATATTGTCTACTCCTCGGACACCACACCAGATGATAACTTCACTATCAACAAATATTACAACAAATGGAATTCTTTAGAATTCCCAAAGTGAGAGAATGAAGAAAACAAGAGGAAGAGAAAACTTGTTTTGGGATGGTTTCTAATGAAATACTTAGGCCTATTTATAGTTGAGTTTTAAGGACTAAACTTATAAATAACCTAATATTTTAGGGACCAAAGATGAAATTCCCATGTGCAAAGTTGGCCACCTACCAAAGATGAATTTTCCAACTTGCCAAATTTGACAATTACAAGCCAAACATAACAGTTATTGCTAAAGGCTGACAGTAGTGGTCAAATGGTTGCTTATTGTGACTCGGATTGAGCCTCTTGTCCAATGAAAAGAAGATCAATAATTGGTTTCTGCATAAATCTTGGAGAATCAATGATTATTTCAAAGTAAAAAAATAGAATATCATTGCTATCTCCTCGGCAGAAGCAGAGTATAGGAGTATGGTTGCGGTAGCAATAAACATTGGTGGTTAAAAGGGCTACTGGAAGAGATTGGGTTAAGAATCATGAATCCTGTGAAGTTATGCTATGATAGTAAGGCAACATTACAAATTGCTGCAAACCCAGTTTACCACCAAAGGACAAAATACATTGAAATCGATTGTCATTTTATAAGCGAGAAAATTCAAAAAAAAAAAAAGATTCATTCAAACAAAGCATGTGTCAACCACAAATCAGCTTGCAGATATAATGACAAAGGCCTTGGGGATTCAGCAGCACAAAAACCGCTCTTCATGTCAGGAGTTAAAAACATGTTTAACCACTAACTTGAGGGGAGTGTTGATGAGCTAATTAATTAGTTAATTATTGTTAGGGTTGTTAGTCTTTGAAGTTATAAGTTTGTTGGGAAATTAGCTTGTTGTGTTCCTGTATATATTCTCTAGATTGCTATCATGAATACATATGAAAATTTCCAAATCTCTCTTTCATTTAACAAACAATCCCTTTTAATTGTACCCAAAAATTAAGCAACCCTTGAATTTAATTCTGAATAAAAAAATTCCTATATATAAACTCACTATCAAGCGAGTTTTTATTTAAACTTAGTTTTTCATTCAATTATTTTTTTTGGGTTTAGAAGTGTGAAAATGAAAAGTGCGAGCATAAAAAACACGTGCATATATGAGAGAGTCAAAACAGTGGAACTTATTAGCTCTTCTGGTCTGGGACTTGTGGACATCACTTTTAATAACATTTAACTCTTTTTCAACAACATACGCATTTGCATTATGCTTAGACTCAGAATGTACATAGCTGGAAAGTTCACACAAATATAGTATTAAATTGCGGCTGCGACACAACGTAATGTCCACATCGCAACATTTGTCAAAGTCCCTTTATGCAGTAAATACATCATGGATGTGCAAGTGAATGTGTTTGTCTCTGCAGGTTTGTAGTTGATCAACTATTGCACGTGAATATATATTGTTTTGTGTTCAGTTCGTTCTCTCCTTTTCAAGGTTTTAATACTTACAGATGCAGAAAAAGATTCTGATTCTGAATATGAAGACAAGCCTGGATAATATGTGGATCCCTTCATGATTATTTTAAGGAGAATCTCAACTGAAGAGTGGACCAAAACAACTCATTAAAGACAAGTTAAACGATGAGTCATGGACCTAGGTGCCATCAGCACAAAATTAAGCTAATTTTCCTTAATTAAATTAAGGAGTAAAAGTGAGGTGAATGAACCCCACGGTTTTGAGTCATTAGAAAGCGACAAGGTTTTGAGCTATATTCAAGCTTGCTTTCACTTCCCCTTGCCGCCATTGATATCAGTTATTCCATAGTTAGCCGGGTGAGCATAACGAATAGGAGATAGCAAAAAGAAAAGATGATGGTCCATTTAAGGTCGGCTCCGAGATATGTGGGACCTTTGAGGATTAAGCTTGTTATCCTTCCACTGCCAAGAGGGGAAGGTCTTCGCTGCTCTGTGAAACCAGCCTCATGCAGTACCCTTCACTCTAATAGCCACAAACACCAACAGTTTTCACTGAGGTCCCATGGCCCAACTCTTGGTTTGGAACGGGCAAGCCATTATACAAAGCCTATTGGGGTCCCACTCAAGGAGCCAAACCCATGTCCCATCACCTCAATGCCCCCACTCGGGTTAAAAGCTTCCGTTACAAAGCTCGGCGATACATTTGGTAGGCAACAACAAATGTAAATAACTAATATATGTTCTTTCTTATCCATGTGGGATTCTTCCTTCTGAGGTGCTCTTTCTAATGTTCATGTCTTCTTGGATAAGCTGAATTTGTTCTATTTTAACCATACAAGATATGCTACTACCAATTATAGTTTTCAGAAGATCGATCAAGGACTGCAAATTAACCACCAATTATCTGAAATAGAAGCTGTTGGAACAAGTTCTTTGTGCTCTAAGCCCTTGAATTGGTAGAATAACACTGATAACAAGTTCTTTGTTTAACAGAACCACCAAGAAGGATAACGCAATTGTATCCAAGTTAGTAATGGATAATGTAATTTTAACATATGATTGAAGCTAGCACATAAAGAAACAAGAAGGTTGTTTTTTTTAGGAAATAAAATCAAAATATTTTGAAACACTTAATAAATTTCTGTTTCTGCCCCTATTTGATTCTCTCCATCCATGCAACGAGAATGTTATGATTAAAACACCTTATTTTTCCCTTCACAGGCAATATGCTTTGACTCAGAGAGATAGGAAAAAGAGAAGATAATGATCCAGACATATTTCGATTATAATGGATCAATGTATGATCCAGGGATTTAAATAGCGTTTAAGGCCGCATTTTCAGTCGCATCACGTTTATCGCGGTTGTGGGTATAGCGGATGTCATCGTGATCACTGCGATTGCCGCGGTCGTGATTTTTTTAATTTCGCACTACTTATTCTAAAATATAATAAGTCATTTTTATTGATTTTTAGAATGTTTTCTAAATGAAAATGACATATATATATAATATAGTTTAACCAACTTGAAACTTTAAAAACCCGATAATAGGATAAGATAATTAATAACGAGTTGATGACATTGTGAATACTTTATTATTTAAAAGAAATGAGATGTTCAATCATTAAAGTAAGAACATAGAAATATGATGTACAATAATTAAAGCAGCAACACATACCTCATGCAACCTAACTATATTAAGATGTTCAACAATTTTTATTTTGGATGTCTCTCTTTTAATATGAAATTAATCGAATAAAGTAAATTAAAATCCATTTTTAACTAACTAACTAAATGACATAGAGAAATAAATTCTTTTAGTAGGCAAAACATACCGTCGAAATGGGATAGTAGCAGTTTCACCAATAAGTGGAATGGCGAGGAAGATCATATCTTTCATCTTTATTTTGAGAATGACCTTCACTTGATCTATGCGGTCTTTGTCCTAAAATATATCCAAAAAGGTAACATTTTCACGTTGATTTTCAAATAATTGAGATGGATGATATATTTGAAGAGGAGGATACATGTGAGGTGGAGGTGGGTGATACATTGGTGGCAGAGGGTACATTTGAGGCTGATATGGTACACCAAAAATAGGAAATGATGGATAATGACCATGTGAAGGTTGAAAATATGAACATTGTCCCGGTGGATAAAAACCATGAGTGCTAGTAGATGGATCACTATAACAAGGGTTATTAGAAGTTAATCTCCTACTAGAAGAAGAACAATCAGAAGTATACTTTTGGGTGCCTTTCCCTTTTCCTTTTGATCGAGCTCTAGGTTCACTTTATCTCTACTAAATGCAACAGAAATATTTCCTCCAAATTCTGACCTATCACAAAAATGTCCACTATCAGTATCAACCCCATATTCTTCTCCATATCAATCAGAAGATCTAATTTCACCTCCATCATCATTTTGTCTATCATCGTCATCAATTGGACTTAAACGAACACCATCGGGTCTATCACCACTCTGACTTGGCATTGCACTAGAACTTGAATGAGAAATTTTGTTGTTGAGATTGATCATCAACATCCATTTCATTATCTGAGGTATCCACAGGTAACACACCAACATTTTCACCATCTAACAATGGATTCTCTTTCTCTTGAAGCCATTCTAATAGTGGATCAACATCTTCAAAGATATGATCAAGGCTAATAGGATATTAACTAGTGTTTATATCATCAATGCTCATTCTTTTTTATGCCTCGTTTTAAGCCTCATATTATAATAGTTAAATACTAGTTTATCAAGTTTTTTGTGCTTGAAACTTGTTTCTTGATTTGGTGAGAATATAGTTGAATGTGCTCCAGTTTTGTTCACAATTTGATGCAGAAGTTGTTTGACTAAACACATTAATTGCTAATCATTGTAATTCAAGAGTGCATGTGCCATATATCATCCACCACTCAGCTGCATAATATATTTAAATTTCAAACTAACATCAAAATGTACAATATCATTAAATAATAAAAAGTAAGTAATTTAATTATATATTTACCCGAATTCATTTGATTCCAAGCACTTTGTGAGTGTGGAGTACTGAATGTCTCATGTTTACATTGAAATAGTAACAACTGCATTAATAAAAGTTTGAGTAAATGAGAAAAATAATTCAATTTCAAATTATTTAACTAAGTCACAAATAATAGTATATGAATCTAACTTGGTTAACCATTATGATTTGATTATCAATAGAAGATTCTAATCTTTCAATCACTAATATTGTACCTTTTAATGTTTTTGCCAATACATTCTCAGAAAACTCCTATATTTTTATAAGAAAAAAATCAAAAACATAATTTAACTTATTTAAAATTTAAAACTAATAAAATAATTAAATATTATTATATTTTAAGAATTGTATTTAGTAATTATAAAATACTAAACTTTGAGTTAAATATTTCTCTCAAACCTTGTTTTTGCCTTGTTTTCTACTCAATTTGTATGAAATGAGTAGCGAATCGAGTCAGAGCTAAGCAAATAATTTGCTAATCGTGAGTATACTTCTTCATCAAATCTATGGTTTATATGTGATTGTATATGAAGCAAGTCACTTTCTTCGCTTCCTTTAACACTTTTTTCACACTAGACTTTTTTTCAATATCCTAAAGGCATAAATCTAAGCAGTGAGTTGCACATGAGGTCCAATAAAAATGGTTTATTTTCAACATTAATCTTTTCCTAGCAACTTTCATTGTTGCCTCATTGTCAATCACTATTTGGATAATGTACTCTTCCCCAATTTCTTCAACAACTTTATCTAACAAATTGTATTAGAATTCAACATCTCTACTACGAACGCTCGAGACATCCACATATTTGTAAAATATGGTTCCCTTACTATAGTAAACAAGGAAGTTGATGATGTGCATTTGATTTAAACTATTGGTCCAACCATCACACATCAGAGTTGCACCCAATTGTTTCCAATGCGTCTTCAGTCCATTTACCCATTCACGAACTTGTTCATACTCGATGTCAAATACGCATATGAAATCACATAATGTGTTGGGAGCTTTACACCTTGTCCAACTTCCATTGATACTTTAATTAAGTTATATAACCAAGGTGTACTTGCACATTGGAAAGAATGTCGATCATATATTAAAAATTTTAAGACCCCTTCACCCATCTTTTTATGCAATGACTTTAAAATAGACTCGCTAACCTTTGGTTATCTTGAGTTTTCGCTATTAACCAATTCAAGTATAGTTCCCCTTAACGTAAATTCAGTCTCGCTTGGGATGGATCTTTCTCCATGATATCTTCCAAATGATCCATGAGAAGAAGATCACATTCTTCATAAACATTACCCCCAACCACCTATACTTCGTTTGAATTCTTCTCTTCTATGTCACTCCTGTTGTGATTGGATTCTTTCTCAGTGACTTGTCTCACAGCAACAACAACATCAATGAATTCATCTTCCTCTTCCCTTAATTGTGATAAGAATTCATTTGTTCTCCTTTTTTTGTCCATTTTCTTTTCCTTGGCTTCTTTAAGTAATTTCATAATGTTTTGTCTAATGATACATGTAATCAAATAAATATAATTCACACTATTAATTATGTATAATCTTTATTGTTAACATTTAAAAATAATTATAAAGAATACGTCACTACAACAAAATAGATTTGTAGCAGTGGTTTTAACAACATTTTTAGAGAAAACACCGTTAATTTGTTTTTACATATTTTCTAGACAAATGTCGCTATGTTCTACTATATAGTGGCGTTTTTGCGAAAACGCCGCTAGAAACATGTACTTTAGTGGCGTTTATGTAAAAAACACCTCTATAGCCAAATATATAGTGGCATTTTTGTGGAAACGTTGTTAAAACACATAATTTAGTGGTGTTTATGTAAAAAAAATCGCTATAGGCAGATTTATAGTGGTTTTTTTAAAACGCCGCTAAAAATGCAAACTTTAGTGGCGTTTATGTTAAAAACGCCATGATAGCCCGATATATAATGGCGTTTGTGTAACAAACACCGCTATAAACACATACTTTAGTGGCGTTTCAGAAAAACTCGTCCATAGAATGACAATAGTAACAAACGCCGCAAAAATGCGTACATTAATGGCATTTTTTCTCAAAACGCTGCCAAATAATAAATATATCTCTAGCCTTTCTCTTGCTCGATCCCTAAATTTTTTTTGAACCTCCTCTTAAAAG